AAAAAAAAAAAAAAAAAAAAAAAAAAAAAAACTTGGGAAAATAAAAAAGAAACTAATGACCCTGTCATTTTTTTCTCATAAAGAGAGGAATAAAGGCAGATATATGGTATGTGAAGGAAATTTGTCACTTTGTAATTTTCTATACATTTTAATTTTGAACCACATAAGTGTAATATGTAGTATATTTTTACCTGTTTTTGTTTTGCTTTGTTTTTTGAGACAAGGTCTCACTATGTCGTTGAGACTGCCTTGGAGCTCACTATGTACCCCAGGCTGGTCTCGAACTCAGTGATCCACCTTGCCTCAGCCTCCTGAGTGCTGGAATTACAGGCGTGTGCCACCACACCCGGCTTACCTATTACTTTAAACGTAAGAAATTCTAAAAAAATTTTCAAGGTAAGCCATATATAAAATCTACCACCATAGAAAGATTATTTTCAGAATGATACTAAAAGGTATTTTTACTACTAACATGGTCACATTTCTATCACTCTCCTAAAGTTAATACTAAAATTGCGAAAGTACAAATTTAAAGAAAATAGAAACTAAAACTATAATAGTACACAAGATCCTAATGCGATAATTAATAGTGTGAAATAGGAAGAAAATGGCTAAAGGTGTAGGGAAAGTGGTAAGGATAGGGGAAAGGAAACAAGGAAAAAGAAAAAAATAAGAGAAAATGAAAAAATGGAAATAAAGGGTTTGTAAATGGGGCGGGGGTTGAAGGGAGTGTGGGGACAAGGGGAAAAAATGAGAACCAAGACCTGTCATGTGAAGGTACAGGATCCCAGTAATGAATGTGACTGTATTGTATACCTAGATTGTACCAATAAACTCAATTTTAAAAAATAATAAAGAGAGAAAGAAAGAAAATAGAAACTTACCTGGAGGCACTGGTGGAGGAAAGCCAGGGAACTGTGGGGGTGGGATCCCTGGTGGGAGTGCTGGGATTCCCATGGGAGGGCGATTCAAATGAGGGGGGAAAGACATTCTTACTGCAGCAGTCTAAAGAAAGAAATCATGACAAATTATTGTATTTGAAAACTTTATAATTTCATATGCCTAGTTTGTTGACCTTCATTTTTAGAGTATCTGCAAAAGTCTAAAGTTTTCTTACCCAAAGGAGTTGGCAAAGACCCTCTTTTCTCTGTCTGTCCATTGAGAATTTTTAAAACTTAGATCTTTTCTAAAATAAGCTCCCAAAATGTAGATCTAAGTTCAGGATAGACTCCTACGATCATGTAGAAATACATATAAAGGAAAAAAAATTTTTGAGGTTCAGTTAATATCCAAAAATTAAATACCAAACATCAATGAATCTTTTTAATCCAAACCTAGAATATAGGAAGGTATCTAACAGTTTGCTGTGATGCTTTTTTTTTTTTTTTTTGGTACCTATCAGTACCCCACAAATTAAATTCACAAAGCTAAAGAGTATGTGACTCAGCGTTGTCTAATTCCTGAAGAACAAATGTATAAGGGAATTGTACAAATCTCAGGCCGTGGAGGAGAGAGATCCTGACATTATATCACATTGTAATCACTCAAATATAAAGATAACATACAGGGCTGGGAATTTAGCTCAGGGGTTCTGCCACCTGCCTCGCTAGTGCAAGGTCCCAAGTTTGATCCCCAGTACAAAAAAAAAAGATAACGTACAGTTTAAGATAATAAAAAAGGTCATCATATTTCTTACATTTAAAAGCAAATCTCATAAGGCTGGATGTAGTGAGTGGCACATGCCTTAATCCCAGCACTCAGAGGCCAGTGGTGAATTCAGGACCAGCCTGGGTTACGTAGTGAGTTCAAGGCCAGCCTGGACTACATAGTGAGACCCTGTCTCAAAAAAATAAATAAAAGCAAACCTCTTTTTTTTTTTTTTTCTCAAAGACTGGGATAGACACCAGGCCCTTCACAGTGAACATCATCTCCAGTCTCATCCTGCCACACATATACCTTTTTAAATTCTGAAATAGGGTCTCAATAAGCCACTCAATCTGGGCTCACTCAAACTTGTCCTCCTGCCTCAGCCTCCCAGGGTTCTACAATTACAGGCACGCACCACCATGCCTGGTTTATCCATTCTTAAGTCAGATGTTAGCCATTTGGTTTTTCAAAATATAAGAGTGTAATGAATTGTTTTGTTTAGTCTCGGTATATTGTAATTGTTTTTTTGTTTTTTGGTGCCAGGGATTGAACTCGGGACTTTACGCTTGCAAGACAGGCGGTGGTACCACTGAGCTAAATCCCCGGCCCTTGGTATATTATTAAAGGAAAACTTCATCCTTTAATGAACACAACTATTTAAAATATTCCCTCCCTCAAAATTTTTTATTTCATGAACATATTTCACCACACATATCTTTTGGAAAAAGTGGAAAAACAATGTTAGGGTGTCCCGGGAGGGTTCTGTGCACCAATTTTTAAAAAGCAGCCAAAATAATTAAGTTGATCCCACATAACTAATTCCACTAATATTAGTGAAATGATGAAAAAGCATATTATTTCTAGCGAACATTAGGAAAAATTCTTGTACCTATAACTGCAATCCCCCCATAATTGAAGAATTCCAGAACTATCAAAAGCTTTTAAAAATATGTATCTATTATTTCTCTTTTGTCTTTTATGATTGTTTTACTCACCCTTCAGAAGAGAGAAGATGAAAAGTGTAAGTCTTCCACTTTCTTTCTCACTAATCTCAACAAGCACATACTGTGTTTTCTATAGATCTAAGTACAAACTAACATATAATAATTCATGGTTTTTATAATTAATCATACTCTTATCATTACCTGCATTAATATCACTGACATCGCCTCATATTAGTTGATTAAATTCTATCCCAGTTTTTATAATGCAGTAAGTAATTATAACATAAATGTAGAATAATTATTCTACAATTAATGGCTGCTTCTACTTTTTAACTCATAAATAATGCTGAACATTCTAGGACATACTAGATGGACAGAGAACACTATACAGCTATATAAGTAATTCTATAAGTTACTGCTACTGTATGTATCCACACTACACTTCCACATCAATCCCCAAAACAAAGATACACATCCTTTCCACATAGCCTCACCAATGTGAAAATAAACCGGTATTTAAATTTTAATAATCTGATAGGTTAAAAAAGACTCATTCCAATTTTTAATGAAATTCATTGTTTTTACCTGTTTGTTAGATATTTCTTTCCAACAGAAAAGCACATCCTTCATGCTCACAACTTTTCGTCCTCAGACTGATCCCATGACTTAGTAAGATAGGATAATACAAAATCTTTAAATTTCAATTTCAAAAGCACAGTATACTTAACATATTTAGAAAACTTTACAGGTAAAAGGATTTCTAGGATTATCCATATGTTTAGCAAATAAAGTACTATACTGAAAATACTTTGAAATTTAGGTATGAATTAGTGCATATTACAAAGGAAAAACACAAACTGGGCATGGTGGTACACTCCTGTAATCCCAGCACTCAGGGGGCTGAGGCAGGAAGATCACCAACAGTTTGAGGCCAGCCTGGACTACAGAATGAGTTCAAGGCCAGCCTGCGTCAGACCCTGTCTCAAAAAACAAAAAAGTCAGGCCAGGCGTGGTGGTACACACCTGTAATCCCAGCACTAGGGAGGCTAAGGCAGGAGGATCGCTGTAAATTGGAGACCAGCCTGGACTACATAGTGAGTTCCAGGTCAGTCTCAACTATATAGTGAGACCCTGTCTCAAAACAAAACAAAACAAAATTTCACAGCACTTAGGAAGCTGAGGCAGGAGGACCACCTCTGTTACAGGCCATCTTCGGCTACACAGTGAGTTCAACACCAATCAGCATGAGACCTTGTCCCAAAAAACCAAGAAAAAGAGAAAAACGTAAGACTGCAGGACTGTAAATCTGTTAAGTTTCTTAATAATCTTTTTTGTAATATATCCTGACCCAAAAGAATAACAAATATTCTATATAAAAGGGTGGAAGGGCATGTGTCTTCTTTTATAACAGAGAAAGCTACTACTGCCCTAATTACAGAAGCTCTTGTGTTATTACAATACTCTACCTTAGCACTTTCTTAGGAAGACAGTTCTTATATTACCTGTTGAATAAATAAATTAATGAATCAGTAAATAAAGTCTAAGGACCTCAACAGACAAATTTATCAAGCAGCTATCATGTGCCAGGTACTATGCCCAATGGACCAATGCCTGCCTTTACAATGGTTACCAAATTGAGCCATAATTCATCTCTAGAATTATTTTCTCCCATTAGTCTTAGATACAATATTTTAAAAATAAAGCTACATTGTGCGGTTTTTCATGTTGAGTTAATTAGATATGCCAGGCGTGGTGGCACACAAATGTAATCCCAGCACTCAGGAGGCTGAGACTGAAGGCTTGCCACAAGTTTGAAGCCACCCTGACTACACAGTGAGTTTAAAGCCAGTCTGAATTAGAGAGAAACCATACCTCAAAAAAAAAAAACAAAAAGAAAAGTTAACTAGATATATTTTAATTCATACCAAGATACCCATTCTGTTCCTTTCTAATTTTTCTATGAAATAATTTTATTTAGAGCTGCTCAGTACTTGGCTAGTTAATAGGCTGGATCTCACAGGTGAAAAAATATTGTAGTAAGAGCTAAATTTCAGGACTTTATTTTTCCCTTTAAGAAAGAAGGTAATACAAGGCCCCAAGTTTGATCCCTGGTACCAAAAAAAAAAAAAAAAAGGAAAGAAGGTAATGGTCCCTTCTACAGAAATTCAGAAATTAAATATTTTTTATTTTTAATACTGTTCACTTTAAACATATTTCAACAAAATTTTGTTTTCCTATGTGAAAAGGAACTCTTAAAATCATGTTTATCAGATGTACCATCATAATAATACAATTTATAAGTCTCTTACAAATTATACCTACATTCAAAGTTAGTGGGTATTTTGTGGAAAAACAAAGCAGGAAAGAGAGCTACGGAGTGGTATATTTCAAATCCGGTGATCAGGCCTCACAAAGAAGGCAAACATTTGAACAAATATTTAGAGGAGGAGGCAGGAAACCTTATTCACATTATGAAAACCTTATTCACATTATGGGGGGGGGTGGAGCCTTCCAAGCAAATGTCAAATACAAAAGCCTGAGGTAGGCATGGTGTTTGAGCAAGGAACATCAAAGTGAACAGTATGTCTATAGCACAGTAAAGAGGAATGTCAGAAGCTAGGTGTGGTGGCACAGCGCGTAATCCCAGCACGGAGAGGTCAAAGCAGGAGCAATGCCAACCTTATTCACATTATGGGGGGGGGTGGAGCCTTCCAAGCAAATGTCAAATACAAAAGCCTGAGGTAGGCATGGTGTTTGAGCAAGGAACATCAAAGTGAACAGTATGTCTATAGCACAGTAAAGAGGAATGTCAGAAGCTAGGTGTGGTGGCACAGCGCGTAATCCCAGCACGGAGAGGTCAAAGCAGGAGCAATGCCAAACTCACACACAAGGTCCTGAGTTCAATCCCTGGTACAAATAAATAAATAAATAAATAAATAAATGAATGAATAAATAAATAAATAAATAAATTTTTTTTAAGGGCTGGAGCTGTAGCGTTGTACAAAAGGCTTGGGTTCCAGCCTTAGAATGGGGCTGGGGGGCAGAATGTGAAATCAGAGATTAATATTATTACTTGGGGTAGATGTTCAGAGAATATAGGGCTTGGCAGTATACTCTAAAACTTTTATTACTTTGAATGAGATGGAAGACATTTGAAAAGTTTTTGACCTGGCTTATATTTCTTATTATTTTAATGTAATACAAGTACTAATAAACTATAAAAACAGTTCTATGAAAAATTTTCATAACAAAACAAATGAATAATACAGTGTGTATCATGATTTTAAAGAATGCATTTTCAAGCCAGGCGTGGTGGCGCATACCTGTAATCCCAGCACTCGGGAGGCTGAGGCAGGAGGATCACTGTGAGTTCGAGACCAGCCTGGGCTACATAGTGATTTCCAGGTCAGTCTCAACTACACAGTGAGACCCTGTCTCAAAAAAACAAAAAAAAACCAACAAAAAAAAAAGAATATTTTCAATTGCTAATCTCTCAGCTCATTTCCTTATACCCTTTTTAAAATAACATTTTAATTATTAACAAAGTATCTCGTACTTGGTACCTCTGTTCGTGCACTTAATTTGTTCTACAATTTTGGAAACAATGGCTATGTTTGTGTTTGTGTGGGAAAGATGGCCAAGGTTGTGTTTGTCATCCCACGCAGTTTGCAAACAAAACTGTTTGTGAACTAAGGCAGATAGTGAGAACCTGCCAAGAAAACAAGACCGGGCTGGGGATTTAGCTCAGTGGTTCTACTGTTCTGCTGCCTTCCTCCCAAGCAGCTGAGTTCGATCCCCAGTACCAAAAAAAATGAAATACCTAGACGGGAACAAGATGGAAGCAAGAGACAATTAAATAATTCAACAAAAGATGGTGGCTTGAAAAAGACAGTGATGGTGCAAATGTTACCAAGTTGCTGGTCTCTGGATTTGCTAAGGGATTAACATGGGGTTTAAGAGCCAGGCGTGGTGGCACACACCTTTAATCCCAGCACTAGGGAGGCTGAGACAGGAGGATTGATGTGAGTTGGAGACCAGCATGGGCTACACAGTGAGTTCCAGGTCAGTCTCAACTACACAGTGAGACCCTGTCTCAAAAAAACCAAAATAGGAAAAAAAAAATAGGGTTTCAGAATGTTATTTTATTAGTAATAAATGCTTTAAGTAGTTTTTAAAAAAAATATTTTTACTTTTGGGCCGGAGATTTAGCTCAGCGGCTCCAGTGCCTGCCTGGCAAGCACAAGGACCTAAGCTTAATCCCTGGTTCTGCAAAAATAAATAAATATTCTTTAACTTTTAAAATGTTCAAAGCATCGTAGTTAAGTATGAAGCTTTGTAGCCCAAAATAACAAAAAAAAAAGCATATATAATGAAATGTCCCATTTTGTATAGATTGTAGGTGTACACACATCTCAAAACTCACTGAAATTAAAATGGATACTTTGTGTGCTTTTTCTACTCAACATCTTACACTTTTACCTTGTCATTTATTCTTTACTCTTTCAAACCATTTTTCTACAATTCTGAGTACCATAGATACATAAAATACCACAAAATATTGCTTATAAACATTCTTCTGTTGCAGACTTATCCAGACAAAGTATTTCACCAGGGACGCCTTATAGATTAGATCCATCAGGACACTGTGCACCAAAATGTCTAAAATGTTAAAAATCAGCCAGGCGGGGGGCACATACCAATAATCCCAGCACCCAGGAGGCTGAGGCAGGAGAAGTGTCCCAAATTTAAGGCCAGCCTGAACTACATAGTGAGACCTTGTCTCAAAAAAAAAAAATTATGTCAAGTTCCCCTCTGGGTATTATTTGTATTAGTTATGAAAGAGTAAAATTCAAGTTACTATATAAAGTTTTATAGCTAGTCCAGTGATTCTACAATCAATATCAGTGACTATCAGTGTCATGTATATTATTTCCCCCCCTGTTTATAGCCTGCATGGTACACTGCATAGCAATGTAACTGCCTCAGCCTAAGCAAAGCATGTCCTGTAATACTATTATTTCATAACCTAAATTTCCATGGGACTGAAGTCCAAAGGAATTATTCCTAGGGGATAAAAATGTATTCAATGCCCAAAGAATGTGAAATGTTTAACAGAAAATTTTTATTTTACGAGCAAGGCTTTTCAAGGACACAAAATACTCAGCACACTGGTGAAGTACAGCTCAGTGGTAGGGTGGCTGCCTATACTTGTAGGTAGGTAGGCAGGCAGGCAGGCAGGCAGGCAGGGCAAAGTAAAAGAAAAATTGCTTAAGTGCTTTCAATCTCCAAAAATAGGGAACTGATCCCTTTCTAAAAGATTTCTACTTTACTTTTCCAATTTCATTGATTAAAAAACAATACACATGAACATTAGTGGTTGCCACAAACTGAGGTAGAATAGAGAACAGAATGATTTGCAAAAAGGCAGGAGTGGGGCGGGGGATTTTTAGCTTAGGGGTTTCACTGCTTGCTTGCGTAAGGTCCCAAGTTCGATCCTAGGTACCAAAAAAAAAATTTTTTTTAAAGAAAAAAGAAAAAAGGCAGGAGGGATCCTTTTGAGGTAATGGTCACACAACTTTAAACATTTACTAAAAATGATTGACTTATCTGTCAGTTACACCTTCATAAAGCAATTTTTAAAAAAACAACATCAAACCAAGACCTGTAATGTAAAGGTACAAGATCCCAGTAATGAATGTAACTGTATTGTAAACCTAGAATGTACCAATAAACTCAATAAAAAGAAAAAAAAAAACATCAACTGAGGACAACTGGCAGTATTTTTTTACCTGATTAACTAGACAATATTGTATCAATGTTAAATTAATATGCTGATTTAGATCATGACACTGTTGTTCAATAAGAGAAACCACATACTAGTTTTTAGGAAATCCACTTTAGTATTTGTGGGTTAAGGGGCAACACATCTGGAACATACTGGCAAAACATTTCAGAAATAAACCATGGAAGGAGGGGAGAATAGACAACTGGTAAAATGTTAATATCTGAATAATCTGAGTGCAAGACACTTGAGAATTTGTTGTACTATTCTTCCAACTTTTTTGTAAATTTGCAATTACGTCAAAAATTAAAAAGTATCAGGAATTCTGAATGCTGTTTTTCTTTTTATTTTCGCTGTGTAGCTTATTTCAGGCTGCCCTCGATTTTGCCTCAATCCTGTCTCAGCCTCCTGAGTGCTGGGATAACAGGTGTAAGTAGGCCATCACCCCCAGCTGCTTTGAAATTTCTACAAAAAACTTTATAAAGATATAAAAGCTATTCAAGCCAGGTACGTTGGCATACACCCACACCACACAGGAGGATAAGGCAGGATAAACTCTGAGTTTGAGGCCAGCCTGGACTACACAGTGAGACCCTGTCTCAAAAAAAAAAAATTAAAAATATGTAATAGGGTGATCTCCACAATAAGAATTAAGGACTATAACTGTATTTCTTAAATCTTATGAAATATCAACCAAAACTGACAAGCAAAGGAAAAAATCCAAAAATAAGGTATTAAAAAAGCCATTTTCAAAAAGTTACACAAACATGTTGCACTGTATATTAAATTCTAAAATACAGTAAATTTTGAAAATAATACTAAAAAAGATTCATATAATTTACTCAGACCAAAAATGCTGGTTGTGAATACAGGAAAATGCAGACTTACAATTTTGGAAATGAAAGGGAGGGAAACAGAATTAAGCAATTTTACTTGTGATTTAATTTTTTTAAAAATTTCAGTATCATTAAGAAGTTCAAAGAATTGTAATAAAAACTAAAATGTGTTTTAGCTGAAATCTGAAAAGCAAAGCCACTGAAAACCAAGAGAAAAATTATTAAGCAAGAATCCATCCTAAATATTGTTCCCATTCTAAATGATGAATTACTTTCAAATTCACTACTTAGTACTTAAGTACATCCAGGCGTGCTGGTGCACGCCTGTAATCCCAGCACTCGGGAGGCTGAGGCAGGAGGATCGCTGTGAGTTCGAAACCAGCCTGGGCTACATAGTGAGTTCCAGGTCAGTCTCAACTACATAGTGAGACCCTGTCTCAAAAAGCCAAAAAAAAAAAGAAAAAGAAAAGAAAGAAAGAAAACCTTAAGGGAAAAAGTTCTAAAAAATGTCATTCTTGTATTTCCAGAAGAGGAAGTAAACACATTCTAGCAACTCTTAATATTTCTATATAACATAACTCTGTTAGGACATTATGATACTATAAGTATTTAGAAAATAATATTTTGATTACTTTTATGTATGGAAACTAATTATGACTTACTACTAATGAGAATATTATGATGAGTATTATGAATATGAAAAATTAAAATTCTATCTAGATGTTGCTGCCTAAAAAAATTCTGAGTTTAAGAACAACTTTTAAAATTTTAAAGAAATATTAGCAACTGCTACTGAAAAGTGTGAAAGTAAATACTAATACCCAAATGTAATCTTTCTTAATAAAATATAATTTTCTAATTGAAAATGCAACAATTCAGTATCATTTAATTACTTATCATTTAAGGCATTTACCATGCATTAAATAATTGGAAGGTAAGCGCAACTCAACTTGAACCACGAGGGATATTATGCCTTGTTTTGGGCAAATGTGCCATAGAAGTCACCAGAATTATGTGGGACTATTTCAATATCTACAGATGTTCAAGTTCTCTTAACAGAAATTTTGATTCAGTTATCAGATTAGAGATCTGAGCATCATTATATCTTCAAATTGGCCAGGCAATTCTAAGGTACAGAGACACTTGCTACAGAAAAACAATCTTAATAAATATTATTTTAACAAATAATTTAAGGGAACTTATAAAATTATTTTTAAAAAAGAAAAAAACAATAAATAAATAAAGAAAAGCTACTTAAGAAGCCTTAAGGATTCAAAATACCTTTTTTACAGATGGTAGCTGGAGTATTAGAGAAGACAATCAGGAGATTAAAAAATAATGGGGGGGCTGGAGATTTAGCTCAGCAGCGCTGCACCTGCCTCCCAAGAGCAAGGTTCTAATTCGATTCCCGGCACCACAGGAGACAGAGTCTTGCTGTGTGGCTCAGGCTGGCCTCAAATTCACAGCAATCCTCCTGTCTCAGCCTTACAAGTACTGAGTACAGGAACAGGCGTACACTACCACACCAAGCTAAAAAATCCACATTTTTAAAAGATGAGAATACTTTTAATAATGCTAATGATTTAATAATATTAAATGGTTTTTTTCAAGTTGTAAGTATTCAATACAACTTTTCTCCAAATGCTGAATAAATAAGACAAACTAATAATCTGTCTTTGGCTGAAAAAGTTAACAGCTTGAAAAGTCTCAAATTCTTATTGGGTCTAAAGTCATTACTCAGTGTTTATATATGGACCAATTTCAGAAATATATTCTTGAGATCTAATACAATGAAGTAAAAAAAGAAATTACAAAATAAAAAATGTCAGCACACATTTGGCTGAGGCACAGAATTTCAAGTTCAAGGCCAGCCTTGGCAACACAGCAAGACCGTGCCTCCAAAGTAAACAAACCCTAAAGATCTTGGTTTCCTACACTAGAGGCAGGGGAGGAGCTCACTTTTGTGACCAAAAAAGAAAATATTAGGTAATACCAAAATGTTTTATTAAAAATAGCAACATTTTCATTTACTTTTATTTACAAAAGTCATTACCCCATTTAAGCTCCCAAATTACCTATTACCTGGTGTAGATTTGTTATTCTCTTTACAGATGAAGCTAAACTTCTCAAGGGAACATAGTAAGTAGGTGGAGACTCCAAGGTTCCCCACTGTCTTGAAATTACCAATGCAAAGGTTGTTTTTATTCCACAATGTTTGCTTCTAGTAATAATGTACCAAAGAGAAAGAAAGGAACTTATGAATTACAACTTCATGAAACTTTTATGAAAATCTATGTATTAGAGAACAGTTAAAAAATGTGAAAGTCAAAGTAAGACTGGCACATCACTGAAAATTCTCAAGTAACATCAATTATATGGCCTAAACACTGAAATGTTACTGGAATAACGATGGACTAAGGATTTCATGTTTTGCTCAATCCCCAAATCTTTATCTTACTGATGAGAAAAACCAAGGCAGCAGGATGTAGTGGTGCACACGTGCTGGGACAGGATAACCTTGAGTTCAAAGCTAGCGTGGGCTACATTGTAAGTTCAAGCCCAGCCTGAAATGCATAAGGAGACCCTTGTCTCATTGAAAAAAAAAAAAAAAAGACTTTAAAAAGTGAAGTGAAATAATTAAGATGTATTATATACATACACCAACTCCCCATAAGTGTAATCATGTACTGCAAACATGTACTAATAAAAATTTAAAATTTTTTATAGTAGCATCTACTCAAATCCTGAGAATTGAATGCTCTCAAGGCCTCTGAATGTTTTGGGAATAATCTTAAAAAGTACAGCTCTCACACTAATCCTCAAGCGGGGATTTAGCTCAGTAGTTCCACCGCCTGCCCCACAAGCACAAGGTCCCCAGTTCGATCCCCGGTACAAAAAAAAAAAAAGCCCAATTTGATCTACTGACTTAACATAATATCAGAGGTATACAATAACTCTACACTACTTTTGCAATTCCTAGTCTAAATAAAATTACCTCAATAAAAGTTTTACAAGTGTAAAAACCAAATTTTTTAAACTACAAAAAACAACCCTAAAGCTGAGTGTATACTACACTGCCAACTACCTAATATAAGTACTTCACCCCTAAAGCAGTCTAGTACAAGAGATCTCCAATCTCTCCCCTCTTTTTGGTCTGCTCCACTCTGCCCAGCATCAAAATGGCATGTCCATGGCAATATAAATCCACAGTACATGACGTAAAAATAACCTTCATATTTCTAGAACTGTTTCGAAAATCGTATTTAAAAAAAAAAAGCAATACTGAAAACCAGAGGGTCGAAAAGAAACACATTTCAATGTGTAGATCGCTGGTCGCTTAGAATGAATGGACACTACAGTTACCGCATCCTTCAATGCGGAAAGAGGGTAGGACAGCAGAACTCATCGTGATGCCAAAAAAAAAAAAAAAAAAAAAAAGGCGTGAGCTTTAGCTAAACTGGGGGGCACTGATTTAGTGGCGAGCTGTAGATGACCAAAGAGGAAGGGAAAGAAATCCGTTGGAGGCCAGCACCTTGCTAAAAAGGGTGAGTGAGGGCTGGCTTCAAGGCAGAACCTAGGGCCAGTATATCCTAGACCAGGAAAATCTACTATGGGGCTCTGCAGGGTCGAGGAAGGGTGCCCCAGGGGGAGGCTGTTCATTTTGTGGCTAACGTGGAGCCCACACGTAGCCGAGGCGAATCACTCCACGGCAGAACGTGGAAGGGAAAGTGGGCAACAAGGCGAGAAACGATCAGGCCTCCAACTGGCTCCCAGGCCCACAGATTTTTCGAGGCCTTTAGAGAACCAGAGAAACCCAAGCCTGGTGCACGC